ACATACATACAGAAATACATTACATACATTACATACATTACATACATTACATAAATTACATACATTACATACATTACATACATTACATACATTACATACATTACATACATTACATACATTACATACATTACATACATTACATACATTACATACATACATACATACATACATACATACATACATACATACATATTACATACATACATACATACATACATACATACATACATACATACATACATACATACATACATACATACATACATACATACATACATACATACATACATACATACATACATACATACATACATACATACATCCTCCTCCTCATCATCATATTGGTGTATACATGCTTTAAATATACTTCAGGTTTACTGCATCTTTGCCAGTGCCTTCATGGCCAGCCGCAAAGGTCGGGAGGTGGACATTTTGCGGGGAGCTCTTCGGCAAGACGAGCGAAAGCGGGGGGGACCCGTGGGACTCCATGGATTTGGTGCTGGTCATTTTGATTTAGAACAATCAAAAATGGTGATTTCCATGGAGATTTCCATGATAAACCATGAATTTTCATGAATTTTCCATTATAAACCATGAATTTTCATGAATTTTCCATTATAAACCATCCAGCCAATGGGGTGTACCTTTATTCTAGGAAACCTCCAAGAACCCGAACTAAAATGGGGAATACACGGGGATTTTTAAAGAAATTATGATTACCAGAGGGTAAAGGGGACCGGGTTGGTCGTCCCCGAACCATCCCAAATTTGAGGGGGATAGTTTAGACTACGACCATATAATCCAGACGTGGGATAGCTGGTGACCTCTCGTTTCAAAAACCAAAAAATCAATTACAGAAACCATCTGAAACCTGATCGGAGGATCATGGGAGCTACAAGGGGACAAGACAGGGAAAAAATTGGGGGAAATCCTCCACGGAATGGTGTGTTTCAGGTTTGTGTATTGTTAATTGATGTTTCAGTTTGCCTTTGCAGAAGAGTTGGGATAACTGGCTATTTTTCAACAATTGAGTCCCCAAACAATTGGATAGTACACACCAAAAATGGCAGAGACAAAGTGCAGTGATTCTAGTTTTGGCCCTCCGTAATCCGTAATCCCTCCGGGATACAACTATAATTTATGGAACAAAGGACATGGGGATACAAATAGAATTGTGGATAGAACCAACAGCAATGGGTATGTATAGATAGCCAAAAGTTCTTGGTTTTGCAGGAATCTGTTTTGCACATTTTTTGTTCTCCAATTTTTCGCAGAGATTGCAGCGGAATTCCCCTAAATATCTTCGTGAATTCCATACTCATTGCCAGGCACCGGGCTATGCTCAAAGAGGATGGCCAAGAGGCCAAAGCAAGTTGCATCAAAGGATTGGTGAAAAAAAACAGCAAAGCTATGGAGACTTCAGCAGTCAAAACTCGTAAAATCGGGACTTCAATGGATTGGTTGCGAAGATCTAGAGGAACCTATAGGTCTTTTCTAGGACTTTCTCAAGGGTTTCTTGCACTTTTTCCCTTTAGCCAATCCTTGGACGAAGACAAGAGCACACCCAGATCATTCATTCCCTTTCTGTTGATGATATCATATCCATTGGCATTTGTTCTCCAACTTTTCATTAGTTGATACCCTCCATTGCCGCTGATTCATTCCCATGGGTTATTGGTCCATGCCTCCTGTTTTTGTTGCTTAGCATACCCCTTTCCTTATCATGGACATCCCCACTCCTAAAATGGGAGTACCCCAAATCATCCAAGTCATGGATGACCATGACGACTCGTATTGAAACAACCATTGTGACAACTGGGGATCCCCCATGACCTAAGAAACCTTCATATTCTCCCTCTTTCAGGTGGATTTTGCCGCGGCCCATGTACAAAGTGGCTGGGCCGGAAAAAATGGCGTGCCCAGATGTTCACATGATTTGACCATCAAAATTTGGGAGGTGTTGTTGATTGTAAACCAGGAAAATTTGAGAGGTTCACATGGTTCACCATCTTTAACCGATGTGGATTTGATTCCTGAACTTCTCCCCTTCAATGTGCCCAAAAATGAATAGGTTCCGCCTTCGCTTGGGTTTCGAGGTGTATTCAAACTTGGGGCAAGGGATCATGTCATGAGATTATTTGACGCCACCGGGCGTCATGGAGATGCGACTAAAGCATGTTTGGTCCTGACAATCAGTTGATGTTTGGTCGGTGGTTTAAACATCAACAACTCACCCATGAACCAGCTGCATTTCAATGTATTTCAGCTAAAGCGTTGCAGACAATTCCTATGGTTGAGGCTTCGAAACCATCGGTCCTGATATTTCTGCGTCTGAAAACGGGGTATCTCCATGTATCTCCCCCATTTATGTACTTTGTTCTTGGGAAAATGAAGGAAAATGAAGATAATCCAGCAAATTTGGAGGTTCCTAAGAAATCATATCAATATCTAATTCATTAGGAAAAACCATGATATTTTTTGTATTTTCCATGTTCCATGATTTTCCTATTTTAGACAAAGCCATAAAAACATGATTGTCCATGGAATAATATATATATATATACAATAACCCATATACATATATACGTATTTCTATCAATATAGGATTATCCACTATTAACCATCATACACACGTATTCCATGGACAAACCCAATCCATCAAATTTGATTCCCTACTTATCAGACAAACCCTATAGGTCTTGAGAAGGCCATCGAGGAGCGAGAGGCTTGGCGCCTGGCAATCTTGGGGCCGTGAGATGTTGATGTGCATCGAACAGGTGGTGAACAAACAGGGGTTTTGCCAGCACAAATTGGGATTCAATGTATTTTAAATAATATATATGGATAAATTATAGAGATCTGATTCGGTATGATAATGGCCACCTGTTGGTAATCAAACATGGCTCGGAAATCCGCGATACATGGAGGTTTTATAGCTGGGATGTGTTTTTTTTTTAAATACAGTATGTACACCAAAATCAACTTCTGAATCATCATGAATTAAGATACGTTTTGTATTGGGAAGAACCATGGTTTCTTTTTAGAGAAATTCATATGGTATCCACAACAAGACACAATCCGGGCCATTTTCAGGTGATTATACATCATCTCGACTAGGGGTCTAGGGGCATACCCATCAAGAACCACAATATGGGGATGTTTCATTGTTGCGGATGCCTCATTGGTCACTTGATACTATCCCAGCATCCCCCTGCCGATCATGAAGCTATCTCCAGCAGATTAAATAGATAGATTACGATCTGGTAAATTTTCACACAGCCCCTGAAAAGAATCCATTTTTAGTGGACACTCATCTTCCAAATCCCTATCTGGCAGGGTCTATGATGGTCTATGTTAATTTACTAGAGGGTATGTATATATATAAATAGTATTGTATCAACCAACTTATTTGTTCCATTGGCTCCCTCTTTGGAATATGCATACACCATGACTCAACCCACATTGGAATAAATATACCATTGGTATACCATTTCATTCCATTGGCTCCATAGGTGAGGGTTTACCATTGGTATACCATTTCATTCCATTAGCTCCATATTCATGTATATAATGCGTGTTTTGCAATCTTATACCATAGTATATCATTATACCATGTCAAAATACCCAGCGTGTAGCATTTCAACCATACCCAACTTATATTCAATATTGCATATTTTATTACCACTATGTATATATATATTATACTTTACCATCACCTATACCTTTCACTGAATCCATGGACCCTGCCAGGCGCAGATCTCGAAACTCCGCTCAGCCCTGGGCGTTGCGCCGCCAACGTGACACGCTCGGAGGCCCAACAGTGGTTGGTGTTTGGTGTTTGTGGGGTTAGAAGCCACTAATAAATATCTATAAATGGTTTATGGATAAGCCTAGGAATCGGGGACCGACCAGGCTTATAAATGTTATAAACCACTGGGATGATGATCCAAGTAGGATAAGTGAATTTAAGTGCTTAAACCTTGAATGAGTAGGGATTTCACCATGGTCCTTCAACCAAGGCATGGATTTCATCGTCAAACATATGGGGATTTCCTAAAATGGGAGTAGCCCTATTCATCCATTTTTATAGGATTTTCCAGTGTATATATGTGGTCCAGCGTTCCAACCCCCCTCCCCCCCCGCCGCCATGGTCATGGGTCAGCCATAGTACTGTCCCCCTCCCCCCCCTGTGGTGTGGTGGGGGTGTGGTACTGTCCCCCTCCACCCCGTGGTGTGGTGGGGGTGTGGTTATATAGTGGTTATATATATATTATATGTTAATATGTGTATATATATATATATGTATGCATGTATACAATACTATATATATATAATGTATATGAATATGTTTGTATGCGTATATATATATATATATATATGTATATCTAAGTATGAGTATGTGTGTATATATATATATATGAATGTAAATGTGTATATATATATATATTTGTATGTATCTATAATATATATATATATTTAACTATCAATATATAGGAAGTAGAAACATAGCACATGTATAAATAACTATAGGTAGCACGTAGGTACTTTGAGGGAGCATGTGTGCTACGGAGGTCGTCTAAAAGGTAGCATGTACCTAGTAAATGCGAGGCTGGTAGTCAGAATCGCTGCAAAAACCTAGCAATTTTTCATTTCTTTCTAAGCAGTCCAAATATGTTGCCAGGATTTGTTGTGGTGACTTGTCGTCCTTAGGCCACTTAGAGTCGAGGTCCATGGCCTGTTCCTGCTCATTGTGGGGTTGAACATCCCCCCAGTGAAGGGTCAGGCATTCCTAGTGAATATAAACATCGATGTACTGGTTGTTGGGTTGGAACATGAATTTTATTTTCCTATATGTTGTTCAATCACATCCATCTTTAATTTATTTAATTATATAAGTATGTGTCTAATAATCTATTCGCAAAGGCCTCTTTTCGCTCCCCCACCAATGTGAGGACCCTAAGCCAGACTTTCAGAGTTTGAAAACTGGTTCCCGAGTTTGAGAAACTGTTGGTCATGATCTACCAATAAGGCACATACGGACAAAGATCAAAGGATGTTTGATTCATCTTGATTCCATGTGATACATGAACATGTCAAAGAGCAAAACACACAGTAAAACGTAGTACAAAATGTCATTTCACCATTTGGACTTCATCAAACATTGTTCGTCTCCGTGGAACCACAATGGTTTTGTCCAGAAAACATATCCCATATAGATATCAGAACCTAGACATCACAAAAAACAACAACCTGATAACCTGGGGTCAAGTGCGACGGCAACTGCCCGTCCGAGGCAAGTACAAGGCGATGCAGGCCCAGCCATGGATAGTGGTCAGCCAGTGGGCCGTTGGTTGCTCCAACCTATTGTACATGGACAAATTATAGCCTCTTTTGGATACTTGTTGGTGGTAATTTTATGCAATTTACGGGTTTTTTACCACTTGTGTTTACCCAATTTACCAACATTTACCTGTCTGGGCTGTTGCTGCAGCCCTAATTGTTAAATGGGTGTGTCTCAAAATTTGGGACATGTCATTTTGATATGGGAAATTGTTGTGCTCTTATAATGAATTTGGAAAAAAGGGGGCAGCCTATTTTCACACAAACGCTACAGTAGATCAGACAGTCTCTTTTTGTGGTGAATCCTCCCAAATAATTTCCGGTGAATTTCATGTAATCCAGACAGAAATTTGCTGGTTTCCAATTTATGGATATTTTTTTGGGGGATCCATTGGGGATCCCCATAAATATCGCTGGTTTTTGTGAAAAACGGACACCTCCAATTGGGGATGGTACATAAGAATAGTAGTAGACTGCCAAGAAAAATGGTTGATATCCTACATATATCCTACATCGCATCCAACAAAAATGGGGTTGCGACCCATTTTGAGCTCCAATTGTTGGGATCCGAAAGGAACCATTCCTATTGCTGTGCGTACTTACCCTGCAGCGGCAAAGTCTTTTTCAGATAATCGAACAGACTCCATGAAGAGAGCTGATCATTCGTTCGCTGTGCCCCAAGGGATCCTTTGGGTAGTTGCTGTCTATCCAAAGGAATGGTGGATAGCAACTGGTCCATGTCTTCCACCCTGTCAGGCGCACAGCCGCTGGGAACTCACGAAGGCATGAAGATCATGCGGGACAATTCCTCCATTTGAATGCGGACACCTGATAGAGAAAATGGTTTGAACTTGTCACATGTTTCAACAAATTCAAACACACTGCTAGCTGTGTTGGGATGGTTCGAACATCTGGGACGCTGGAAGTCAAACCATTTTCTCATCAGGTACAGTGAAGGCCCCCCTACCAGTAGTAAATGGATTTGAACATACCACTGACCCCTGGCTATGATGTTTTGATTGATGTGTCGTATAAAAGTCAAATTGGTTTGAAGAAACCATTTACAACTTGGAGGGCCCATCAGTGTATTCGATCTTTTCCACCTTGGCATCTCTGGCTTCTGGCAAAGCCGAACGGCCAGTGCTAAGTGACACAACTTCCGCCGGGCGGCTTCATCGCACGGCGGCGTGCGAAGTGCTCGTCGACCAAGGGCATTAAAATGAGTTGGGTGTATTTGGGAAATATATGGTTCAACGATGTTCAATGATTACCGTCATGATGAGAAGTAAGGGAAACCACCCTGATTTGCGGAGAATAGACGTTGCGCTGAAGTAATGCGTTTTTCTTTCCCTAAAAATCGGATGGTTCGGTGGCGAAACGACCAATTTTGCAGACCCTCAATGGTCGCTGATGCTGCTTTGTTTGGGATTATACGTCCATTCGTTTGATGAACAACTATGAAAAACTCCTATTTGAAAGTCCAGCATCAATAATTCTCTGTGTGATTTCCGTTGTGCGGCCACTCCTCAGTGTATGCCTTGACCGTGCCATTTTTCCATCCCTGCTCCGCGACATTCAGCTTCTCAAACAGGACAGCGTATGGAAAGGGTTTCAACTTCCAGAGAAGTCCAATTCAAATTCATCGTTGCAGTGAATCAACTTCCATCAACTTCCATCAGGACCACCAGGGCTATACCAGGGGTATACCGTCGTCAACCCCAAGTCGTGGATCAAACGGATCAAACCTTCTCACTGCGGCGCACGGTCTGACCCCAAAAGTCTGGAGCCTTGGGAGCAGATTTGGGAGCACCGGGTCCGGTGGGATCCTATGATTTTTCAACGGATGTTTTGACAACATATAACAAATATAACATGTAATATATTTATGTATATATAATATAATCTTTATATATATATATATATGTTTTAGTAATTTATCCTTTCTATGTTTATCCAGCTGGTTGATTTTCATTTGTTTAATGATATATATTTTGTTTAATGTGCTGCATAAATTATAACGACATCACGTGGCGACGTCAATGGAGTCATGGGAAGTGTAGGACCAAAATGTTCTTATTTCAGGCTAATAATTTATCCAGATAATTTATACATAATTACAATTCGACCATACACAGATATGGATATATAATCATATGTATATATTATATATATACACGTGTAAATATATATATATATGTAATATACATATTAATGGCATACAATATGTACATACAATATTATATACATTCATTTCTCAAGTTTCAAACCTGTTTTGGTTTTCAGCTAGGGTTGAAGCCCGCCCGCCAGATTTGACCCATTTGTGGCAGGTTTTTTTCGCGGAAACGGAGATTTGATCAGGACCGGAGAAGGGGGGAAGAGGGAACCAACAGCCAAAACCGGGAATACGAATCTCCCCGGCAGAAATGGGGCTGCAAGCAAGCAAAAAACTAATCAAACCATTTGTCCTGTCCTTACTGAGGCAATTTAGCAATGCCCTGTTGACGCCTATTGATTGATGATGAGGTCTAGGCTTGATTCTGATCATTTGTTTGGTTCATGGGAAGTGCACAGCAATCCACAAACTGGGAATGTGGCCTTCAACAGTTCTGTAGAACTACAGAAGATTTTGGGCACTGCTGGGCACTGCTGGGCACTGCTGGGCACTGCTGGGCACTGCTGGGCACTGCTGGGCACTGCAAAAAAAATGTTAAACGTCAGACTGCTTGTTTGACCTCGGACAATGATGATTAAGCAAAGTCTTTGTCCCGTGCTGTTCAAAGGGGCTTACCTCTTTTGATTTCACGGCCGTAGTGAAAAAAAACTATTTTTCAGCCCAATAAAGAGCGGATTGCCACCAACCTACTGGGGAGCCCCCACAAGTTACAGTACCAACTGATTAGTACCTAAGGTATATATATCAACATATCGCAGTTGGAAGTTGTTCCAACCCGTTCCAAGCTTGTTTCCTGGGTTCTAGCCTCAGCCGAGCATCTAGGAAACCAACTTCCCTCAGGTTCCGCCGAATCCAGCAGGAGACATGAACCAGTTTGAGGAAGCACTCTCTCAGCTGGAATCTTTGCATGCCCAGGACCTGACCCAATCACTCACAACCGGTAGATGGGGGATACGCTAACTCCAATCAATTATCAAAGAACCAGGGACATGGATATAATTGCAAACAGTGTCTTGCCCCAGGCTTGTCATGGGTAGAGTCATGGGTGCAGTAACTCATGACATGCCATTCCAGATGCCTTCCATGGGCACGTCCATTCCATTGGGGATACCGCAGCAGTGATATCCAAGGGATTTTTTCTTAGTAACCCCCTGGTAATCAAAAGTGACAATCGAAAATCCATCATTTGTAGATGATTTTCCCATGAAACCCTCATTTACAGCGGATTTCCCAGCTTACCATGTTTGTTTACCTGAGGGTACTGGCAGGTGGGGTTGGACCAGACTCCAACGTTGTGACTTTGTGCAGAATTTCAGTGTTTAGGCTCCTATCTGCTGTAGGTTCTCTGTAAGGTCCCAAGAATTGGAGGGAAGATTTGCAGGAAGCCTAAAAACTCAAAACCAATGGTTTCCTGCGGAATTTTCCTGAGCCACACCATTGAAAGGTTTCTTGACTTGGGAGGTTTTAGGGGAGGTTTCAGACATAACCGCTGGTTCGGTGGAGGACCTTGAGCATCCCTTAACAGCAGGATCAACCCCTTGGTGCAGATGGGGATAAACACCAAGTTACCAAGTTGCCCTGTCAATCTTTGGTCAGATTCATGGTTTATCGATTTTCCCACCAACCCTGGGAGTGTTTAACCAAGAAGGATGGTTAGTAGGGTGGTATCATTATGGATCATCAGTAAAATTGCTTCTTACTTGATTTCATATGATTTATTTAGTGTTTTATTTTGACATATAGACCCATTCAGACACCTTGATTTCAAGACGTACCTATCTTTCCCATCGTTCAGCTTTGTTGATTCATGTCCGACTGGAATGATTCCTCAAATTCTCCCAAGGTAAGGCTCCCCAGTGATGTTTCTTGGTTTACTAAACCCAGCTAGTTCGTCAATCAGCTCTAAATCCCATGACATGCCCCAATTTTGGTTGGTTAAATCAACATTTTCCTATGGATTCCTCTGCTTTTCGTATGGTTTCCTATGATTTCCTATGATTTCCTACGGGGGCCTCACCTAAGGTTTGTAAGGTCCCGTCTCTGGCAGGAGCTCACGCGAGTCCAGACGGAGCTGCAAACGAAGATCGAGCAACTACAGGACGGGACGTGGCAGCCATGGGACAAAAAACGACAGTCGGAGGATGGATGACGATTGAATGATTGATTGATTGATTGAGTGATTGAGTGATTGATCGAGTGATTGAGTGACTGATTGATTGATTGATTGATTGATTTGATTGATTTGATTGATTTGATTGATTGATTGAGTGATTGATTGATTGAGTGATTGAGTGATTGAGTGATTGAGTGATTGAGTGATTGATCGAGTGTTTGAGTGACTGATTGATTGATTGATTGATTGATTGATTGATTTGATTGATTTGATTGATTTGATTCATTTGATTGATTAGATTGATTTGATTTGACTTGATTGATTGATTTGATTTGATTTGATTTGATTGATTTGATTTGACTTGATTGATTTGATTTGATTCGATTCGATTCGATTTGATTTGATTGATTGATTGATTGATTGATTGATTGATTTCATTGTTTTTTTTTTATGTGGTTTAATCATCTTGGCTATTGATTTGTTTGGGATTGAATCATCAAATAGGGATTCCGACAAACAGAATGGGGCTAAAGGCCAGAAATTACTGTATGGTTGGTTGATGTTTTTTTTTTTCAGGGCTCCTGCTAGCCTTTACATAGGGGATTGTCATAATTCATGAACAAGCATCGCAGGTTGCTGTACTTTATCCAAACCCCTTTGAATTGAGCAGTGTCAAAAACCTAATCATTGAGAATCCCCAAAATAATCATTGGTTAATGGAGATTCTTGATAAAGGAGGGGAATCATCTTGAAGATGACCCAACAAATCTCGTGTGAGATTAACATTTACTGTTTGATACTTAGACTGAATTTTGTGTAATTCTCCTAGTTACCTAGTTTGGGGTTCATATCATTTTTTTCTGGGTCCCATTTTTGTATGTATAGTATACATATATATATATTTTATACCTATTCTACATATGCAACAACAAATGGACCAGCTGGTATATTGCAACCGTTTTATTTGGCATACCATTTCTTATCATTGTTCATTTGGCATACCATTTCTCTTCCAGAAATGGTGGACGAAAACATTTAAATTATATTTATATCCATTTACTGGAAAACTTATATTTGAGCCTACAAACACTGGTTTCTGTAGTCCATTGCATGTTCCATAATGAAAAGTAAATCAGAATCCATAATTCATAGCCATAGTTCATAATCCATAATCCATAATTCATAATCAATAATTGTAAAATTCCTCTCAAAGTAAGTCAATCCATAGCCATAGTCCATTGCCAAATTGCACGGTGGGAACTTCCACCATCTTCCACCAGACATTGGATTAGGCCTCCTTGATGGAAGCTGAAGCTCTGAAGGCCCCAGATTTGAGAGTTTCGCGGACCATTCATGGTTGAAACTGGGAAAACTGGGGTTGAAAGCAGAAACATGATCAAATAAATTTGGATATAATTTGGATTCAAGCTATCCAAGCATCAAAGTTGAAGATGCTCAAGAAATCCGGGTGTGGAGTTTCTGGAAACCACCCACATGCTGGCTATTTAATTTGTTGTTTCATGGAAGCCACGTTTGGAGTACCAATTTTTGAGTTGTATATTGCAGCTTCAGTGTTTCCTTTTGACCCACACCCTTGGGTATGTGTCAAACACAGTGGAAAATGATGGGAGTTGCACAAAGCCGATGCAACAAATTTATGAGCAGCAAAACCCATTTCTGAGGAGGATTTCTAGTCAAGAGAGAATGACCCATGTTGAGGGTGCTAACTATGCACCCGCCTGAAACGAAGTGCGAAACATGAGAATTGTCAGATGAATTCCCCTTTTATTCTTTGCCATTTGTTGGGTTTCACACTCCAGGTGTAAACTCTTGACCTTTTCCCCAAATTCGAACGATTGTATGGGGATGGGTCAAAACCCATTATTGCTTACTACCGTATTTGGGAGAATAAACATTAATCAACAAGTTGTTTTGGGGTATCTAGGGTACCAGGGTTTGGACTCACATATGTATAAATATATATATACATACATACATACATACATACATACATACAGATCGATCCATCCATCCATCGATCTATCTATCCAAGATCTATCTATCTATCTATCTACAAATAAATAAATAAAGAAAGAAGTAAATCAATAAACAAATAACTATACTGTAGATAAATAGAGAAGTATACATATATGTCAATTGGGCAATTTCAAAAACATGGTGGTTGTAAACGATTATATACATAGTGGGAATCCCTATCAACCCATCTTAATTTGGGATGTTTAAAGATGCTTTTAACACTACTCAATTTTGCGTGTGAAATCGGTCAATCGGTCTGTCTGAAAATAGGGTACAGGGTCTCCACAAAATCCCATGGTTGATCCCCATCAAGCTCGCCATTCTTGGTGTGCACACCATTTCCAGACGCAGCCCATTATGTACATTTGTTATATTCACCGAATGGAATGACAAGAAGAACTACAGGAAACCCCTATGAAGTTTAAAAAAAACAGTTTCTGGTTAAGACTTGCCTTTAAACAAATCCATTGTATACATCAGTTATATACATGTTTAATCCCCGCTCCCTAGTGAAAAACACCACCCAGAAAGCATGATTTAGCAGGGGATTTACACATACCCTCTGGTAAACTAACATAGCTATGGAAAATCACCATTTTTAATGGGAAAATCCACTATAAATGGCCATTTTCAATAGCTATGTTAAATTACCAGAGGGTAGTTTTTCTGATTGTCTCAAGCCATTTCCCACCAGACTGCCGCCGCCGAACCGCAAGCCCTGGCGGCGGCGAGGGGGCCAAATAAATGGTGGGGTCGGAGCTAGGGGTATCCATAGTCCTGAGGGAGCCAGAACCACATGATAGCAATATGAGTATTCTTAGGAATACAAGGGGGTCCATACTGGGATATATATATATAATTATATATATATGAGTATATATATATATAAACACTGGACAAATAGAACCAGAGGAGTATACATAATTAATGGGAATATCATGGTGAGTGGGGAATGTGGTTTATATTGTGGTGTGGTTTTGCATCCTGAAAAATGGTGGATTTTTGAGACCAACCATTTCATGGGGATATTTTATGGCTAGTTTTAGTGGGATATGTAAGCAACGACCTGGGTGTGTGTTGGAGATGGGTTAACCACCAGATTTTGGTATTTTTGGACTAGCCCATATCATGATGCCATGCCTTATAAATATATTTTCCGCCATCAAAAGAGTATTTCGGAAATTCTACGTCAAGTCGTTTTTCGGTTGGTTTTCTACATCAAGTTGTTTAGATCACCATTCGCTTTATCGATCCTACTACTTCTCAAGGCCGATCTTTTTCGGGCGTCCCCATAGGCCATAGCTATGGTATAGATGGCCGATTGATAGATGATTTACCTTTAAGCCATGGTGAGTTTCCATAGCTAATTACGTTGATCAGAGGGTACCTGCGATTGTTTTTCATACTTCGGAAGGGCCCTTCAGTCGTAACTTGGTTTATAAATGTTTATAACCACATCGAACTAAGGATGCATCACCACAAATCCAACCAATAGTTAGCCTTATAAATTAATTTCCTTACCATGAATCTCGTAACTTGGTTTATAAATGTTTATAACCACATCGAACTAAGGATGCATCACCACAAATCCAACCAATAGTTAGCCTTATAAATTAATTTCCTTTCCATGAATCAACTATATCAACTATCAAATTCCATTTTTCTTGGTTGAATTCCAATTCTGAAGACTGACTCCCTCATCCCGTTTGTTTCCCCATGTCCGACGTACCTTCTTTGCTGAGGTTATTGAACACATTGCTCAAGAGTTGCAGGAACCGGCGCTGGCACAGGAAGCTACCCAGGCGCGGCGAGGGGCGTCAGTTTTGCTGCATTTTGGTGCCATGCTACTTGGGTTGCGAGGAATTACAGTATATATATATGATATATACAATATATAATATATTATATATCATATACAATATATATATATAATATAATATAATATAATATAATATAATGTAATGTAATGTAATGCAATGTAATAAAATGTAATGTAATATAATATAATATATATATAATATACTATATTATCTTATATAATATTGTATTATATATTATAGATTGTCCAACACATGTTGATGGGGAGAATGATGATCGACCATTGGATTCTAGGGGTCCCTTACTTTTTTCACATTCCTAGATGTCGCTTATTTGCACATATTTGGACTGTCCTACTATTTGTAGCCCTCTCCCGAAGTGTGCCACATCTGAAATTTGGCAGTGGCATCCCTAGTATTGCTAGTTTACATGCCAATGTTCATTAATCCATCATGTGGTTGCGAAACTGTTACTAGCTCCTTGGCTCCGTATTTAGTATGGAAATGTAGGGAATATGGATACCCAATCGCTCCCTTCACCGCATCTTCCCGAGAGTCGCCCATCTTCCCAGGAGTCGCAGATGGATGAAACGACGAAGCATCGAGGTTGGAAGCAGCGTGGGGAGGGATTTTTTGGGTCCATAAATTGCGGCCCCAAAATTACCCTCTGGTTTCTACATACCAAAAACTATTGAACATCACCATGTTTAATGGGTAAATCAACTATTTCGACTGGGCTATTTTCAATAGCAAACTGTTAGTCATTACCAGAGGGTATAATTTTTGGGGTGAAATTGATGATACGCCCTAGGAATTTGGGGTCTCCCAAGTTTTCATCCAAGTTTAATCATTGGTCAAATCTGATTGGGAAAGCCATAATTCAGTGGGGCGCCCCCCATTTTCCGAAATACCCCCATTTGATCCCATTTGGAGGCTGCAGATCCAGAAATGATATACTACGTAAAGTGAACATGATTGGCTACATGGAGTCATCGAACATCATTGAACCATGTTTGAAAAGTGGAAAGTCTTGGAATTAATGACAAACAACTTGGTTTTTGTATTTATGATGAATTATTCAGATCAATGGAACAAAACACTCTTGGAAACGTGATGGTGCAAAAACAAGTCTCTTGAGCCATCTATATATATATATATATTTGTCATTTCCATATCATTCTATATCTACCTATCTATCTATCTATCTATCTATTTATCTACCTATCTATAGGCTATGTATTGATTGGCCATGCTGCTTACAGTGTCCTCAATTCGGACAGGTACTGAACTATTGATCAATGCGCGTGTTTCCTGACAATCTCCGGACACTTCAATCCCACCAAGCATCCTTTTGTCCAGAGGAGCATATTTTCTGAGTTACAGAATTGGTAGATATTTCCTTGCTATAAAGCACACTCCAAACAAGATCCACCATGTTCAAACTTTCATATTATGGGGTGAACATCATCTACAGCATCCTGGAATTTTTTTTGTCTACCTTAGGGTTCCTCTTGCAGTCCTAAGTCCTACTTATTTGGAAATCCCTAACTCTTGGATAGTGGAACTGCCCCTGCGGCCCTGCGCGCAGTTTATGCAAAAGCTCAGCGTTGGGCCCAGACGTTGTCGATGGAAGCTCCGCAATTTTTTCATGGATTTTGGGTCTTGGACACCAAGGTTTGGTACTGTTTGTTGATTAAACATCTCCCCCAAGATGGTGAGAGTCGCAACTCTCACTAAGTCATTGAAGTCACCTCAAGAAGGCACCAACTCTTTGAACATGCTTGAAGTTTATATGTTGAATCCAACTGTTGGTTTCAAGCCTGTTGAATCAATATACGACCTTCATCCTACCCATCCTACCACAAGTGGATGTTGATCCTGATCGACTGGTTGGCAGTTTCGCCCACAACACCTCTTAGGGCTTCCAAGATTTAAGGGTTGAATATTCAGGATTTTGAGTTTTGGTGTGGATAAACATGTTTTTGGCTTAAAAACCTCTGGTTTTTCCATTTACAGTTTTAGGAGAACTTGTATAACTTGTGCAATGGACAGGCCGCCTCCCCAAGCAACGAGGATACTGGGTAAGCCTTACGCCGCGGTCAAACCATGGGGAGCACTGCCATGGAGATATGCCCCATACCCAACTGGAAGAAGAAATCCTTTGGGAACTAAGATGGATGTGAACCACAAATGCTGGGATTTTCCACTCTAATATCAAACTGTACCCTCTGGTAATGACTAACGTAGCGAACTGGAAAGATCCACCATTTTCAATGGGAAAATCCACTATAAATCACCATTTTCAATAGCTATGTTAAATTACCAGAGGGTACACTTTGCCATTTTCTCCCGACATCCAAACCTATACCCCCTTTCACCGATGGTGGGGCTGTAGTCGCCCCAGGTCCGTGACGTTTGAGGATGAGAAGCGCGAAGGTGCGAAGCGGGGATGTTCCAGTGCAATTTTTGGAATGAAAGTTATGGGGCCCTTCGGGGATTCTAAAAGCCAACCTGGGTGATTGGTTGTTTTTATATGTTTTTTATTTCTCATGATGTTTTATGATGTTAAATCCATTTAAATCCTGGATATACCGGGATGATGATCCCAATTGACTTTCTGAATGATTCCAGGGGGGCTGAATGACCACAACCAGTTAACGAATGGCTATATGGGCCCCGATCCAAGATATTTAAGCCCAGGTTCCGTCCGCAGTCGACTGTCGAGTGTCAAGCTCAGCAACGATGTGTTGCCGCCTGTGGGTGTAAAATCACAGAGCTTTGAAGAAATCCTATGGATTCTGTGCATTACCCTAAGTTGGTTACTGGTGGTAACAGTTGGATGATGTTCTAGATGGACATTTAATGACCTCTGACCCTGAATCACTAATGAAAGTATGGTTTGTTGAGCACTAAATGGGAGTACACAATCGGTTATCACTGTTTCTCCTATGCCGGCGCGACTTCATAGCGATCTCACACCCGACCGCAGAATGATGCTTCATCATCAAATTTAAACTTGAATTTCTGTTTTTGGGATCGATTGTATAAACTGTCCACATGTATGGTATGCACAATTTAACGAATTTCGTGGCTAGATGATAGTTCACGTATCCATATAGATTCTAAATATACCATTCATGGAACATGCCACAGATTGGCACAGTAGCAGGGGGTATTTCCAAAAAATACTCAGGAGAGCAGCGCGAATTTCGCCAGCACAAGGGTTCGAAGCAAAATGGGGATTGAAGCTACAACAGTCAAAAAACAAGACATGGGTATGGATCAACACCTATTAATACCATTTTTAGTGGGATGAACATCCATTTACCAGCTATTTTGATGTGAACTACAGGGGTACAAGGTTTTGACACACTGCCACATTTGAAGGTGATTTGAGCAGAATCTGGGGATTGAAGACAACCCAAAAAAATGACCAGAGGCCGTGGCTCCAGGTTCTGACGAGAAGACACGGCTCGAAATGTTGGAGTGTCAGCGAGGTCTCCTGACGTTTCTTGGCCCTGATTTTCTCGTGACGGTTTTCGCAGGAGTTGATGGATCTAAAGATTGGGGCAATTGTTGGGCAATGTGGGGCTGAGCCAATAGCATAACCAGCCCATAATATATTCTACCAGATTCTACCAGAAATGGCCAAAACTCATCTCAAAAGATGGTGAGTTTATGGCATTGGGGCGGTGAATCCCACAACACCATTCCGAAGGACTAGTCATTGTCATTGTAGAAATCCCACTGTTCCCTTTTGAAGTTGCAACCCAGGTCAAAAAAAGTCCCTCAAAAGTCAAAATAGTTCCCCCATGTTCCCCCCATAGCTGTTGAATCTAGGGTCACATCGTATGATGGTATCATGTGTTTCGTGCATGGAATTAGTGGCTTTTAGGGATGATGAAAAACATGTCAACTGATGTGTCGCTGTATCACAGGTATCAGTATCACTCCAAAATAAACGCTCAACAAATGACGGTTTAAAATACCAGTAATGATCAATTTGGCGGGTAAATTGCTACTCCAAATGACTTCACATGACTTGATCCATGATGATGTGTAGGTCCAACATGAACGAAGAAGCGCGGAGCAAACTCTACAGAATGCAGGAGGACGCAGACAATTGAAAGCTAATTCATGCGCCGGACCATACCTAAATTGTAGTGAAACCATGTTAAACCTTGGCTTATGCAACTTTTTTGTGCAGGTGATATAAGATCATACGGCCATGACAAATGTTGTCACCATGCACTAAGCTGATGCATCATCCATAACAATATCGTGGAAATCAGTTGGCCAAATCTTTTGTTCCCTTCAGGGACCCGTGTTGAACCATATTGAAACGATGATTTACAGATCCAAAATGAGCAATGGTTGACGAATTATGGAAAAAGACTTGGAAAATGACCCATAGATTAAACATGGATAAAAATGGTAAAAAAGTGAGCCACAAGAAAAGCATCCCATAGGTCCATACCTTGGGTTGTCTGAGTGCTGGAGTCAATGGAGTCTATCCAATTCTGGCTTGGTCAAACAGGAGATGTACAAGAAAGAGAAGGCTGTGTCATGGATTCTGATGGGAAAGTGTGGTAAAAGCACACCATTTGTTTTTCATAATTGCTAGTTTCATGAAGCCAAAAACCACAAGTCTCACAGATTTCTCACAGATTTCCAAGGTGATCTCGAGAAATTTCACGAAAGGCCCTGATATATAGGTTTGCCTGAAAATATGGTACCCCCTGGTACCCCCAAATTTTGATGGGTGAGAAATCAGCCGCATAGGCCATCGGAGAGATCAACGCAAGGGTTCGAAATCCTTCCGTGAAGGACAGCAGAGCCAGTTCGTTGATGGCCCCAGCCAAGTGCTATTGATTCCCCCCCCAAAAAAAGCGCTGACAAGGTGAATGGTTGAGCCATCAGACTCCGAAGGGAGATTCATCCTGTGGGGCGTGTGGGCTTTTGGTCAAACTTATGGTACCAACAGGCCCGCAGTTTTTTTTGGTTTTAGTCTCAGCAGTACTGACGCAAACCATTTTCTGCTTGGTGGTTTCAAACATATTTTTCCACCATATTTGGAATGGTGATCCTCATATTTTTCAGATAGGTGGACACCATGAATCACCTTGTTGAAAAGTAATTTACCGCTATGTCTATGTCTTAGAAACGGATTTTTAGTTTCTACCTTTCTTGGGGTTGAAAAAACACATTTCCATATCCATATGTGGCTGAAGGAGCAGGAAGGAGCAATTGAACGGAAGGCGTGACCGGCGTAGGGATGGAACTGGCCATGTCTAGTCGTTGGGTAAACAACTGTAATTAGCTAATTAATCATTATTCCATATTATTCCCTTCCCCTTACCCTTTGGTGTCATCAAACATGGCTGGGAAATCCCGGCACTTGATGTATATTAGTATTTATACATGTAGTAACTAGCAAAACACATATTTCTTTCCAGGGAATCTAAGACGACGTATCTGTGGTTTACCACATCACGTGCCATGGCTGCCATGTTTTTGGGGAATCTCAGAGATTTGGGACACAAAAAATGGTGCAGGGTATGTTCAAACGTTGGTCAAATCGCCTAGGAAACGATCACATCTTGATTTCTTTCGGTGGCATAAAGCTTTTCTGCGCAAAGCAGGAGGGAAATCCCCTAACACGTCCCTTGTTTTGCAGACGGAAATATATGTCTTTCTTCGCTGTTCAGTCCCTGTGTTTCTCCTTCGCCTGACGAAAATCGTTGATTGGCAGGTCACTTTGGCGTGTATCGTGCCTTGGTAGATAGATGATTTGGGCAGGGAAAGAGGATCCTTATGGATCACAACTAACCAAGTAACCACGAAAAATGCGTCCTGTAAATGCAACGTGGAACAAAGAAAAGGTCTGGAAGGCGGTTTTCCGATTGGATAGGGTAATTTTGGAGTTGCATATTAAACTTCGACCTCTTGGGGGTGTGGATGGTTTGATATGGTTTGATCATGTTTGATCATTTCAGCAATTCCTAAGAACTCCTAAACATGACTGTGAGTCCACTGGAAGCCCAGTTGTTCATAGTTTTTCGACACCTTTGCAGCGGATTTCGACACATATTCTGGCTTGATCTCGTGCGGACGGATTCCCAGTGGATGGATGATAAAAACTTGATCAACTAGTATATAAAACTAGTAATATAATGTAATATATATATAATATAGTATATATATACAGTATATATGTGTGTTTTGACCCCACGCATGTCTTCAATAAATTTCAATGTTGACCATCATTTGCTTACTTCTTCGACTTCTTTTTTGTAGTTTTAGTTAAGGCAGATGGAAATATCAGACTTGGCTGCCTGGATCTAAGTTGAATAGCCGCGCCTTTGGATTGTTCGTGGCCGGGATGATCATCTTCAACTCCATCCTGTTGGGTTTGGACGTGAACCGCAACAAAGCTGCGCTGGACGAACAGGCGGGGTTCCCTGGGGTTGGCGAAGCAAAAAATCACTGGTGTACTACCGGGTAAACGAGTACTACCAAGGGGTGTATCGGGGATCATCAGAATCCAGTCTTGCAGTATGGGAATCTTCATCAAGCAACCACTATGTGAGGGGCATATGACACTGACACTGCTCAAATCATCACCAAACGCATGTTCGACATATTTCAAAACAAAAATGGTGGATGTTCATGGGATTTTAGGAGCCACTGGAGATAGCTGTTTCATCCCAGGGCAGACTAACTAGAGTAACTATGCACCAATGCCTTGGTGGTGAAGGGATATGCAATTAAATCATATTATATATATATATATATTGGTATACATATATATATATATATTGGTGTGTATATATATATTATATTATATATTATATATTATACATATATTATATATTATAAATATTATATATTATACATATATTATATATTATATTATATATATATATTATATTATATATATACATATATTATATTATATTACATATATATGGATCAGTGGCTTGGGATTGGTCATGGGACATGGCATCACCAAGCCAGATGGATCATTCTTGACTCCGCTGGTTGAGCTTGCGGCGGAGATGTCTGGGAATGGAATACCTCATAATCCACTGGTTGACCATCGTTTTCACTATGCCTCAAAGGCCATAGATTTGAGGTTCCTGGAATTGAGCAATCTCAGATACCCTCTGGTAAACTAACATAACTATGGAAAATCACCAGGTTTAATGGGAAAATCCACTATTAATGGCCATTTTCAATAGCTACGTTAAATTACCAGAGGGTACCATATTGTTGATTATCTATCCCATTATATCCAATGGTATTCTATTAGTTAACACTATGTACCGATTGTTTCCCCATGATATCATTATATCCCCACAAAATGATAAAACCCCAAAATCATAGTTGCTTAGTTATATCATGTTATATCCCCAGTATATTTCAGTATCTCTCCACAATATACCATAGAAATTAGTTTTATGACGTAGACAAAGCTGCAGATCTTGGTGGTCTTGGGGGAGATCTGTAACGCCTTCTTCTTCATCGAATTGATGCTGCGCTTGTGGTGTACCTTGGGTAAAAATATTTTGCGTCCGGCAGGTCCGGCAGGTGGAGAAACTGTCTTGTTTTCTGTCAAGAAACCTCTGGCATTTTATGGAGATATATTTTGGGAGTACTTTTTTAAGGACTACACATTTGGAATCTCTCGGCTGGGACTCTTTTTTAGATGGGATGGATACAGTACAAAAAATTGGGGTGACGATGCTTTTTTATCCCAGCTGAGCTGTTGAACTATAGGGTACCAGGGTTTCGACCCCTAGCCCTAGCCACAGGTGGGGAACATGGAGAGATGACCAAAGATGGAGGGTTCTCGCCAACATGGGCATCAAACAAAGGGGACTGTCTCAAGATTTGGAACCCCCAAATCCTATGGGTTTGTCCCCCAAATCCTGTGGTTTTTCCCCCAAATTCCATCTGGTTTATCATGTTCCTTCGTGAAATGTCTTGGGATATCCACCTCTTGGAGATGGCTAGCGGCTAGCCCCACTGGACCGATGGATACCCAACTGGACCATTTCAGGCTCCCGATTTTCAGACGCTCACGAAGTCTGGGATGACCCAGAAATTTGGTTCAGAAGGTCATTCTTGGGATCTGAAATCATCCCTGTTTGGTAAACATGTCGTGTCGGTCAGAAGTTGGTACAGTTTGATCAATTTTGCCAGTGACTCAACATACAGTGAACAATCCTTTCTTCTTAATGGAATTATATGGAATACGTCCAAGTACAGGTCATGTTCAGCTTTAAAATTCTGACATCTTCCCAGTCTAAGGAAAACTTCGATTGGTTGGGAGCAGTTAGAACTCCCATTCATGGCACCTGATATTCCCATTTATATTCCGTTATGTAAACCATGATTTCATGGTTAACTGACCAGGAAGAATCACAATTCATTCTTCTTCGCTGCAGGAAGCCGGGAATCTACAATTCCTCAAAATTCCACTATGGCTAATGATATCGAATTATTTCTATCCATTCGCCACGATCAGCCCATTATTAGCACATTCCCGGTAGTTCTGAAACCGCAGTCAACTTCAGGCTACAGGACCCACTTCTTCTGCGGAGACGAACTGGGTGAAACGCTTGGACATTGCGGGGAAATTCATGGGGGGTGAGACCTGGTTGGGACCTATCCCATCTTCCGATTTGAGGGCTTCCTAAAATGAATGGTACCCCAAGTCACCGTGGGTTTCAATACTAAGTCATGGTCATCCCCGTTTCACATTAAACACCAAGAAATCGTCGTTTCGTAGGGAATGACACCACACATTGACTGGGATGGGGGGATGGGAAGGAAGGGCCCCATTGAACTGTAAATATACCCTCTGGATCCCTCTGGTAAACAAACATAGCTATTGAAAATTGCCATTTATAGTGGATTTACCCATTAAACATGGTGATTTTCCATAGTTTCTTGTATGTGTACCGGAGGGTATCCACCATAGATCCCAGATGGGTCATATATCAGTTGACGTAAGGGAGCCTTTCCTGTGCAACAATCAACCATCCCCATGTTAGTCATGGCGGGTGCCCGCCCTATTTGGGATGATGTTTTTCGCTCCGGTCATGGCGAGTTTTTATCATTGGGTAATGATATGTAATCAATGGGAATTTCAGGATCCCAAATAGGAGGTACCTACCATATATAAGGCCTATGTAAGGCCTATGTAAGGGAATATTCCCCCAAAATATGGCCTTATATGGTACAGTACCTCCATTTTAGGATCCTGGAATTCCCATTGATGTAATGATTCTCTCCGACGACTGGGCATGCCAGTTCAGTATTCTATAATCTATAGATCAAAAATATGATGAAATATTGATCCATGATTTTGTTGTGGGTATTTGACACCAGCGGGAAGGGTTTTTTGAACACCTTACTTTGCTTAAGGTGAGTTAATTTGTCCAATCCACCAACCATGATGATTCTTTAGGCTATTATAAGGAATCAGTTTTTTTTGGTTGATACGCATAAGATCGCACAAGGAAAAGATGTGAGTCTGGCTTTCTGTAAAACCATGGCTGGTGAGGCTGGAACTTCTTCGATAGTTTCTTGGTGCTTTCATCCATTCTCGACGTGCGAAGCTCAGGATTCATCGAGGTCAAATTTGAGGCTTCAGCAAGGGGAAGACTTTTGGTAGTTAGATTCCCCAATATTACCATAAAGTTACAACTGTTGGTGGTTTGGAACATGGCTTTCATATGTTTTTATGGCTTTCCATATCTTGGGAATAATAACCCCAACTGACGAAGTCATATTTTTCAGAGGGGTTCAAACCACCAACCAGGATAAAGAGATATAATCATATATATATATTATAATGATATATATATATATATATTATATTGATATATATATATTACTGTGTATATATATATATTATATGTAAAAACCATCCACCAACTGGGTGTGATTTTTCCCCAGTGATTTCACCATGATAAAATGGCCCATCGGCCCATTGAAATTCAGCTTGCCACGGGATGATTCCTTGGTCAAGGTTTGGGTGATATCGGGGTAGTCACTTACTTCATAGTGGGGGTTATGTCACGGGTAGGCATGATGTTTGAGTTTGGGATAGCCTACTATATACATCTAGAAAAACCAGGCTTGCTAACTGGTAGGCCTTGATGTGGAACTTGTTTTTGAGAATCCCGGCTGACCAACCTAGTAGAACCAATCCACACGAATCTTTGATCAGGAAATATCTAAGGGTACCCCCGAGAAGGTACGCCCCAAAGACAAGGATACATCCCCATTTTATATCATTTTATGGGTTATCAAGTTATCAACCACCATCAACCAACATCAACCACCATCAACCACCATCAACCACCATCAACCACCATCAACCACCATCAACCACCATCAACCACCATCAACCACCATCAACTATGAAACTCGATGCAGCTTATCGCTTTATGGGTTATCAACCACTATCAACCACTATCAACCACCATCAACTGCCATGAAATCTGATGCAGCTTATTAAGCGAACAGGGCTACCCCGCACTTGGGTGGTGCAGTTCCAGGTGCAAGTGGATGTCGAACCATAATTATAGATATTATAGGGGTTAACTCCTAACTTGTGGATCTTATATGAGCGGCATATCAACCCATGGTCATACCCATATCACCCCGCAGCCCGAAGAAAGGGGAGCTACTTCTCCTAGGTGGTTTTGACCTACACAGCCACCAACATGTCCCCCGCTGTGGCGGGCTCCGTCAAGATGCTGAAACTGTTCAGGCGGCCCAGCAACCCTGGTTGACCCTAGCACCATCAAAAATGGTGAAATATTATGGTTTAACCAGTTTAACCACCAAAAATGGTGAAACATGCCGTAGTTTAACTGGCAAACAGATTGAATAACAGTGGTTTAACTGGCAAAAATGGTGGAAAATCACGGTGTAAGCGGCAAACATTGGGGTTTTCATGGGGTCCCATGGGGATAGCCTTCGGCTGGAATTCATGTTGGAACCAAATGGAGGACAGTCCGTAGGACTGGGGGAATGAACCCAAACACAAGTGCCTGGCATTTTTTCTTTAATACGCCTCCAGTAAACATATATGGCTATTGGTCAAAACCTTGTACCCCTGTAGTTCACATCAAAATAGCTGGGATTTATGGATGTTCATCCCCCTAAAAATGGTACTAATAGGTATTGATCCATACCTATATATATACAAAAAGCATCATTTATAGCCATGTTTTTATCCATTGGTTTAACCGGGTTCTCCATGGACACTGCCAGGATTATGCGCGTCTTCCGCGTCTTTCGCTTCTTTCGTCAGTTGGCCAATTGGGCCATGATGATTTTGGACTCGCTGAAGAGTTTGTTCGGCGCACTGATCTTACTGGGCCTCTGGGAAGCGGTTTATGGGGGCTATATGGGGGCTATATGGGGGCTATATGGGGGCTATGAGTTTGGGGATGTTGCGAAAATGTTGGGATTGGATGATTGGATTGCGAATATAGTTCCCTTTTGTGGGGGATTCGCAGCCCTCAGCGATTTTCTGATGGATCCATTTCTTGTTGCTGGGTTTTCCTCAGAAAACAGCGGGGGAAGGACTGAACACCCCTGCGCAGAGAAGAGGAGTTTTGGAGTTTTGGATGGACGATGGGATTTGCATGGATCTACATCTGATATCATCTAATGTCATTAAACATCTGAGAGGATGGAGTTCGCCCGTCTCAAAGCAGTGATAGCACAGACCAATGAAATCAGACCCAATGCTACAATACAAAGTAAGACGGTGACCTTCCTTTATTTTGTTGAATACTATGTAGGGGCTGCAGGTCATCCTGCGATTCCGATTTTCCCACCTCAGCCTGGCATCGACTGACTTCCGAGGCATCATCATCTATGTTTTCGCAGTCAGTTTATCGATGAACACTGCAGATTGGCTCATCATGCAGGACTGGCAATCGGCTGTTCGCCGTGCATCCCAAGTGCATAGGTCTAGTTGTGGCTGCAGATGTTCTACAAAGGTATCTATATATGGGTATGGATCAATACCTATTAATACCATTTTTAGGGGGATGAACATCCATTTACCAGCTATTTTGATGTTCACCAGGGGTACAAGGCTTTGACACACTGCCATATATAGCCCCACCTGTTACTTCCAAAAGTGGTTCAAGGCGACACTCCTCCCGTTGTTTTTTTCAGGAGAAGGAGGGCGTGACAGATGAACTCAAAAGCAGCGTGGATTTTTGGTTCGGATCTTTGGGCAAAACCTTGTACACTCTGTTGCTCTCGATCCTGGGCGGCGTCTCCTGGCACTTGGTCTGTTCGGAACTCAGATGGGAGGGCCCCGCTGGGGTTTGAAAACACCCTCACCAAGACATAGGGCTTCCTAGGCGCTCCGCTCACGCCAGGCGACCTTCTGTTAGAAATTGACATCCTGTCCGCCGTTTTGTTGCTCTTTTACATCATGTTCACCATTTTTTCGGTCTTGAACGCCCGACTCTCAGTCAGGGTTTCAGGAAGGGCCCCCAAAAAAGAACATCTGGAAAACGGCAAGCATGTTTCAGTTTTGAACAAGAATGCGCAAAAACACCACATGCTGAGCATTTCTTAGAGTACTCTAGCGGGAGCTCGATTTGCAAAGATGCGCAGAGTTCCTCACCATTGGAGTGGGCGCGGAAAGCCCGCCTTAGAACTCTGCCTCCCATGTGTCTTGATGTTGTGCGACCTTACTATGAGGACATGCACCGCGCATTCCCGCGCGTAGGCACGCCAGCCATAGAATAAGATAGAACAAGATAGAATAATTAAGTATTTTAGGAGAGAACACTCAATCAGTCCTCTAGTCAATAGTCATTCGAGCATGAAATCGGATCATGGCGAATTTCATATTGAATATAAATCAATATAAATCATTCAATAAATATTTCATTGATCATTCAATCAATCAGGCAGGCACATCAGCCGGCAGCTCGTCCTAGATTTCCTGCAGCCGCCAAACATGTTTAAAAGCTTGTGGACCCGGCCAGATACAATTGTATATATATATATATTACAACATTATTTATACACATATATGATGCATCAAATCGTATTGCTATATCTGCCCTTTCCCTCCGGGAATCAAATGTGGCAATGGAAAATTCCCGATTTTGTTCGATGATTTTCTCATTAAAACCTCCATTTAGATCGGAGATTTCCGGGTAAGTGGACTCTCCTGGGTGACCAAAATTATCCACTGAGGTGATTACTGGAGTTTTCGTTGACAGTGCCATACAGACGAGCAATTCACAGAGAGATATCCAGATCGAGCGGGAAATGGAATTGAAGGACTGGGAGCAAAAACAACTTGCGTTTCAGTCGACTGCATTTTTCTAGGGCAATTTGTTTTGAACAACTTGCATGTTTGGCATGGTCCGGCCCATTGAATTATCATTATATAATTATCTATACTGACACTCATGTGTACCTAATTCAAATTGAACCTTTTTTGTTTGTCCTTGCTGGTCTTTGGAATCCTGCAGGATTCCTTTCTGAAATCCCTCAAAGGTTTCTTTGAGGCCCTGGACACGGATGGCTCTGGCTCCATCCATTTGGAAGAGATCAAGATCATGCTTCAGGACAGTACCCTCTGGTAAACATACAAAAAACTATGGAAAATCACCATGTTTAATGGGAAAACTCACTATAAATGGCCATTTTCAATAGCTATGTTAGTTTACCAGAGGGTAACGGAATGGAATCACTGCTCACCAGATCCGCTGTTGTTGTTTCACCTGTTGACTCCGCAAGGGTCTCCCCACAGGATCCAACCCTTGCAGCATATTTTGCGGCCACTTGGACGACGCCATTTTGTGAGCCAGATGGGAATAGGTCAAAACATGTCAAAACATATATCCCCAAAATTATCAATATGATCATTGGTGGTTTCAGCTGGTAAACTAACATAACTATTTTTTTTAAAAAAACAACACCATTTCAATAGCTAAGTCAGCTATAAATGGGCAATGTTCAATAGCTATTCGTTACTTTACCAGAGGCTACTTTATTTGTTATGTTATTTCCAACCAAATCTGGCAGGTCTGGATAACACCAATATCCCCAAAGAATGGATCGATAGAGATGTTTTTCGGGCTGTGTTGGTTGATGTTAGTTACGTGTAGCTTATTAATTACCAGAAGATCTTGGAAAACTTAAGCTATATACATCAACAACAAAAAGAAAACATATCTGGACATGGTCGAACTTGTGGATGGAGCTTACACGTGACAGGTTGATGACTTTTCCAATGGGTCACAGTCATGTTTCCGCAGATTGTTTAAACAATAATTGGTGTGGGCCCCCAGAAACTTCACGATATATTTCTGTCACTTTTCGGAAACAAAACAGTTCAATATATATATATATATATATGTATATATATATATATATATGAATGATGATATATATATACGTATATATATATATATGATGATGATGATGATGACGATGATGATGATGATGATGGTGATGGTGATGGTGATGGTGATGATGATGAGGATGATGATGATATATATATATATATTGTGGTTTTTTCTGAAGTTCCTACAACCAAAAATCGTTTTTGAAAACAATCACCGCTTTGTATTTTGAGGTGCTCGGCTTCGACGAAGTCAATGCCAATCAAATCTTCCATCTGCTGGATGATGATGAATCCGGAGAGGCCAAGATATGGATTGGTCAATGGACAAAATCCCAGCATTTATCCTCTGGTAAACATACAAAAAACTATGGAAAATCACCATTTTTAATGGGACAATCCACAATTTCTATGGCCATTTTCAATAGCTACGTTAAATTACCGGAGGGTATCCTCAATAAAAAACTGGCAGTTTTGGTAGGGGATTGATGTTTGCTATCGGAAGCGGCTAAGCGGGGCAGGAGCAAAAAAAGGCATCCCGGTAAAAAATGGGGACCAAAGTATAAGGAATCATCCTTGTGGTTTCCATCTAAATTCGTGATTTTGTTCAGATCACTGGTCTAAAAATCCGGTGATAATTTAAAGACCATCCCACTATCTGACATGACAAAAAAGGTGCAGGTCGTTGACGACTTCCCATCAACATGTTCCATAACCATTGGTTGGGAGGATCTTTGGATATCTGGGGCCATTTGAATGCGATTCACTGCTGTGAAAACATGGGGGTTACCCCATGTTGCCCATTGATTTCAGTTGGTTTGAAAAGGCTGCGGGCACCTTGGTGCTTCAAATAGTTGTGTGAAATCTCCAATGAATAAATCCCCACTTCACTGTCTTTTGGGGACAAAACTATGTAAAACCATGAATAGTTGTGTCTTCCCAAAGAAAGTTACACAAATGACCCCGCAAAGTTTTCACACTTTTACCAGCTGATGCCTCCCAGTTGTGCAGTCGCAGGTGAGCATCGAGGAGTTCCTTGACGGTTGTTCCAAATTGAAGGGCGCAGCTCGATCCATCGACGTTCACGCCCTGATGCACCAGTGCAGGCGACGGCAGGGTGTGGCAGTGGTGAAGGCTCCAAAATGTATGGAAAAATATATATGATCATATGATTATATATGTATGTGTTCTCCTTTAGGGGATTTATGCATGAAAAGCCTGCTGCGCAGTTTCGGCTCACAGTGGTCGGAGCAGGGGGTGAGCTCCTCCAGAGGAGTCACCCCCCAAGAAAATGGAGGGCTTGCTCAGCTTCGCCCAAAGAGAAGGGCTGACTGAGGAAGAAGCCCAGAAAGTTCTTAGACTGAACCGTCCAGTTACAGATGCTGGATGGGTTGAAGCAGAAGACTTGGGAGAAGAAGCCCTGCTGATTGCAAAGGAAACTATGGAGGCGGGCAGGTACCTTGAGTACGCCTGCTATGAATCAACAGGGGCACCCCAAGGGCGAGCAGTGTTGAAGCTGCAGAGCTGGGAAGAAGAGGGCGTTCTGACGGGCTCCCATGGGGAGTGTTCAGACCCCTATTATCAGTGGTATGCTGACCACGACATCCGAGACCGTGGGGCCGTGTACCACGTGTGCACGGGGAAGCATTCCACTTGCCGGTTCAAGCTGCCGCGCGGAGACAGGAGGATTGTGATTCACCTGGACCGATGGCGGTTGCTGAGCCCGGCAATCATGATACGATCAGACTATATGAAAGAAAAAGGTGAGCGGCAGCGGCAAAGTTGCCAGGCGGGCCACCCCATAGACCCCCAGGGGATTCGGGGATTGAGGCCGCTCTGGCTGAGGCTGCTGGAGGTGGTGGTTTTCCCCCGCCTGCCCCGGAGAAACGGGGGCCGAGGGAAGGTGAGACAAGAGACAAGAGCCCCAAGGAAGAGCGCAAGAAAAGACGAGTGGAGGAACACATAAAAGATCAGATGGCCAGGCAAGAGAAAAGGCGCAGGTCGAAATCTCCCAGCCGGAAAAGGAGAAACAAAGACAAGTCGAAGAAGGAAAGAGGCAAGGGGCGCCGAAGAGATTCTTCCGAGGATTCTTCAGGGGCCAAGTCCTCGTCGGGCAGTTCGCATTTTCAAGCAGCCCCAGCCCGGCGGGGCGAGCTTTGGCGACAAGCCCAAAAGAAACCCGGGCGGTTGGCACAGAGGTCCCTAGACGAGATGTGCCGATATCTCGCCGACCGTCACGAGACCGCCGAAGGAGAGCTGGCATGGGCCGGTCAGAAGGTAGTGGCCTACCTGAATCAGGTGGTGCTGGTGAACCACCCTCCAGCTCGCATAGGGGTCAGATCCCACCGAGAGATGGTGACTCTGGCAATGACCGTAGACGAGTTGCTGGGAGGGAGGATCATGCATGCCTTGGACCTGTTGCTGCAGAGGTTCAAAGCGATAGAGGCCTCCTTCGAGGAGGGAGGTTGGCAGACAGCACGGCACCTGGAGCTCATTCCGGGAGGCGGAGCCGGTCTCTTGAGAGAAGACGAGAGGGCTGCCGCAGCGAAGGCCGAGATCCAGGCATCAAAGCTGAGGGAGAGCCTGGCAAAGCTGAAAAAGAGCAAATAGGAAGCAGGCAGCGGGCAGGCTCCCCAAGGGGAGAAGTCCGTGAGCCATCAAGAGCGAAAAGAGAGCCCCTTGAGGGGCCGTCAGACCGCTTGGAAGAAGACGAGGGAAGATCAAGGTCAGCACGTGACCTTCGAAGAGAAGAGAGCCCAGCACGAGCAAGGAGAAGGAGACGGTCAAAAAGGGATCGCTCCCGTCGTGATCGTCGACGACGGGCCGGACAAGAGTCAGAACCAAGATCAGCCCCTCCAGAAGGGGTCAAAAGGGAAGATGAAAGGAGGAGGAAAGGGCAAGAGAAGCCGGCCAGCCTGGAAGGCGAGCAAGTTCGGCAGACCAAAAGGGAGCCATCACAAAGGAGTCGGCAAAGCATCAAAAGGGAGCAAAGCAGGTCCTCCAGGGGACGAATCTCTGCCACCCCAACGCGTGGTGATGTCGACTTGAGGCCCCCAGCAAGTAGATTCCTTCGGGAGTTTCTTCATGCGGAGGAGACCGGGAACCTGTCGGCGGCTCAACTGATCCGTCACCTGGTCCTCCAACTGATGGAGACTGACTCGCCGCTCAAAGAATACATGCTCTGGTCTCTACAGTCCCCGACGCGGAGAGAGGGCAGGATGCTGAATCTGTTCCCCCTCCCGCTTTGGTTTGATGGCCGGGAAGCCCTAAATGAGATTTTGGATGAAGCTCAAGTGCGTGACCAGCCCGGAGGTTGGCGAAACAGAGGCCGCACCAAGTCGAAAGCGGCCAAGGCCCTGAGGGGTAATGGCTTAAGAGCTTGGCATGGCCTGGTTGTGGTGGCCTTGAATCATCTGCCTCGGTCACTGTAAGCCACTCACCTCCATGTGCAATCATCACAAAAATTTCTTCCATCACCGAAAATAGGCACCTCCTGAACTGCAAAATGTGCACCGCCTTTCCAGCGTAGACCTGCAGTGCTTTCCGTAGGACTCGGACGGAACCCCGGATCCATGAGCCCAACCCAAAAAGGTCTAAACCTCTGTTCTTTGATTGTGATAGTTTGGTTTTTGAAAATGATAGTTTCATTTTGTGTGCCATGGAAAGTAAAAAACACAACATTTTTTAGAGTTTTGTTTTTAATGTGCTGGAAATGATATTTTAATGACATTTGTGATATAAACATAAAGCTAATCATGAATATCTTGGAGGACTATATGTGACACACACCTTGAAATACCTTGGATCTTGAAGCATCAACATACATATTAGATTAGCCTTAGCTATCTAAGTTTTGCTTAAAATAAGATCACTCTCCAAAACTTTGTTTTGCAAAAAAAACATTGATTTTGACTCAGGTGACTAAGGTTTCATGCATGGGTAGTAAACCCTGAACAAGGGTTCTAGCCCTGAATAAGGGCATGGGTGGGAATGGGCAGGCAGGAATATTGCAACTCAGCCACAATTTTCAGATCATGTAATATATTTTTTTCATCGAATAAGTTTTGACATGGAACTATCTGGGACTTGGCCTTCCTTGTCTTGGATGCCCATCTCAAAACTTAGATTCATAATTTCCATGGTTTTGAAGTGGATCCATCTGAGACTTGGTCTTCCTTGTCTTAGATGCCAATTTCAAAACTTGTTTTTTATGGATCCATCTGAGACTTGGCCTTCCTTGTCTTAGATGCCAATTTCAAAGCTGGGTTTCATGGTTTTCCCAAGTTTTGAAATGGATCCATCTGAGACTTGGCCTTCCTTGTCTTAGATGCCAATTTCAAGACTTGGTTTCATGTTTTTCCCGAGTTTTGAAATGGATCCATCTGAGACTTGGCCTTCCTTGTCTTAGATGCCAATTTCAAAACTTGGTTTCATGGTTTTCCCGAGTTTTGAAATGGATCCATCTGAGACTTGGTCTTCCTTGTCTTAGATGCCAATTTCAAAACTTGGTTTCATAGCTTCCCAGGTTTTGAAATGGATCCATCTGAGACTTGGCCTTCCTTGTCTTAGATGCCAATTTCAAAACTTGGTTTCATTTTTTTTCATTGTTTTCACTCTGTTGGTACTTGGTTGTTTTTCATTCTGTGCGCATGTTCTGGACTCGTGGGTTACTGTTTCAGAACTTGGATGCCCCCAAGGTTAGACTGGGCTTAAATAGACCGACCATACACTTAAATTCAGCAAATTTCCATGTCCCCCAGACTGGGTTTTCCCGAATTCTGTTCCTAATGGATTGGATTCTTTGACATTCCGATTCCCCATCTGGTCACAAAAATACGGGTTATTCAAAATTGTCTTATCCAAGGTTTGTTCATAGAGTTGGTTTCTCAGTGACTTGTTTTGGTCATACAATTGAATGCTTCAAGACTTCGTCGTCCAAGTGTTGGTCAAAAAACACATTTCCCCGGGACTGGTTATTTTACTTTTTTTCCTTAGAGTTGGGTTCTCCATCATAACTTGTTTGTCCAGTTTGGGTCATAGACAAGAATCGTTCAAGGCTTGGCTGTCCATAATGTCTTGGTCATGCAACTGGATTTCCCAAGACTCGCTACTTTCAAAGTTTTTATCATATAACAGACAAGAAATACTAGGTTCAAGACTTGGCTTTCCAAGTCTTGGTCATAGAATTAACTTGGTTTTCCAAGTCTTGGTCAAAGAAATAACATGTTGAGGGCTTTGTTTTCCAAGTGTTGGTCACAAAGACTCTCATAGACTTAACATGTTCAAAAACTTGGCTTTCCAAATTTGGTCATCAATACTTCAAGAGATGGCGCTCCAGTCTTATTCAAAAAAAACATGTTCAAAGCCAACCGTTTTTCTTAAATCTTTTTAAAAGAAACTAAAAGTTCAAAGAAAGAAGCACTAACCATTGGGAAAAAAGAATCAAGTCTCTGGACCTCATTTTCTCAGTGATGAAATTCAAAAAATATCTTTTTCACAGAGCAGTTTCATGAAAAATATGAGATTCCGGAAGGACACTGCCAGTGCCAAGTCTCTGAACCCCATTTTCTCTGTGATGAAGTCTAAAACACAGAGAAAATGTGTCTTTTTCACAGAGCAGTTTCATAAAAAATATGAGATTCCAGAAGGACACTGCCAGTGCCAAGTCTCTGAACCCCATTTTCTCTGTGATGAAGTTTTAAAAAACACAAAGAAAACTGTTTTTTCTCACAGAGCAGTTTCAAGAAAAATATGAGATTCTGGGAGGACACTGCCAGTGCCAAGTCTCTGAACCTCATTATCTTTGTACAGTTGCTGCTGAACACATCCAGCTATTTTTTTAAAATCATATTTTCATTAAGATAATGAGGTTCGAAGACTTGGCACTGGCAGTGTCCACCAGTGCCAAGTCTCTCAACCTCATTATCTTTTTACAGTTGCTGCTGAACACATCCAGCTATTTTTTTACAAACAAATTTTCATTAAGATAATGAGGTTCGAAGACTTGGCACTAGCAGTGTCCACCAGTGCCAAGTCTCTCAACCTCATTATCTTTTTACAGTTGCTGCTGAACACATCCAGCTATTTTTTTACAAACAGATTTTCATTAAGATAATGAGGTTCGAAGACTTGGCACTAGCAGTGTCCACCAGTGCCAAGTCTCTCAACCTTATTATCTTTGTACAGTTGCTGCTGAACACATCCAGCTATTTTTTTACAAACAGATTTTCATTAAGATAATGAGGTTCGAAGACTTGGCACTAGCAGTGTCCACCAGTGCCAAGTCTCTCAACCTCATTATCTTTTTACAGTTGCTGCTGAACACATCCAGCTATTTTTTTACAAACCGATTTTCATTAAGATAATGAGGTTCGAAGACTTGGCACTGGCAGTGTCCACCAGTGCCAAGTCTCTCAACCTCATTATCTTTTTACAGTTGCTGCTGAACACATCCAGCTATTTTTTTACAAACAGATTTTCATTAAGATAATGAGGTTCGAAGACTTGGCACTAGCAGTGTCCACCAGTGCCAAGTCTCTCGACCTCATTATCTTTTTACAGTTGCTGCTGAACACATCCAGCTATTTTTTTACAAACCGATTTTCATTAAGATAATGAGGTTCGAAGACTTGGCACTGGCAGTGTCCACCAGTGCCAAGTCTCTGAACGTCATTATCTTTGTACAGTTGCTGCTGAACACATCCAGCTATTTTTTTACAAACAGATTTTCATTAAGATAATGAGGTTCAAAGACTTGGCACTGGCAGTGTCCACCAGTGCCAAGTCTCTGAACCTCATTATCGTAGTGATGTCAAGTGGTTAGGCCAAGTCTGAGGAGGTGACTTTTGACCTCTAGACTTGGCACTGGCAGTGTGTGTGCCAGTGCCAAGTCTCTAAATTCCATCAAAGTAGCTTACCAAGTCTGTAGGTCTCTCTTCTAACCCTGAACATTTGGTAAGCTATTTTGATGTAACTTAGAGACTTGGCACTGGCAGGCACTGCCAGTGCCAAGTCTAGAGGGTTGACTCTGTGTTGCAACTCTTGGCACTAGTACTTGAGATCATTATGCCTCCACAGGTTTGCGGCTCAAAAGCTTATTGCTCCTAGGCTGCTTCACTTCATTTTCAACTATGGCTGCCAGCCGTCAGTCACCAGATGTCAAGCAGGTCTGTGACAGAGTCATGCAATGGGCCATCGACAAGTTCACTGGTTCAGGGAACCCTGAGGTGGATGACGCAGTTGATTGCTGTTTGATGCTCAGATCATGGTCTTGTCTGTGACAGCATGTGCATCAAGCACAAGGTCTGATGTCAAAAAAATGAGGTTGAGAGACTTGGCACTGGTGGACACTGCTAGTGCCAAGTCTTCGAACCTCATTATCTTAATGAAAATCTGTTTGTAAAGAAAAGCTGGATGTGTTCAGCAGCAACTGTAAAAAGATAATGAGGTTGAGAGACTTGGCACTGGTGGACACTGCTAGTGCCAAGTCTTCGAACCTCATTATCTTAATGAAAATCTGTTTGTAAAAAATAGCTGGATGTGTTCAGGAGCAACTGTAAAAAGATAATGAGGTTGAGAGACTTGGCACTGGTGGACACTGCTAGTGCCAAGTCTTCGAACCTCATTATCTTAATGAAAATCTGTTTGTAAAAAAAATAGCTGGATGTGTTCAGCAGCAACTGTAAAAAGATAATGAGGTTGAGAGACTTGGCACTGGTGGACACTGCCAGTGCCAAGTCTTCGAACCTCATTATGTTAATGAACATATGATTTTAAAAAAATAGCTGGATGTGTTCAGCAGCAACTGTACAAAGATAATGAGGTTCAGAGACTTGGCACTGGCAGTGTCCTCCCAGAATCTCATATTTTTCTTGAAACTGCTCTGTGAGAAAAAAAGCTTTCTTTGTGTTTTTTAAAACTTCATCACAGAGAAAATGGGGTTCAGAGACTTGGCACTGGCAGTGTCCTTCTGGAATCTCATATTTTTTTTGAAACTGCTCTGTGAAAAAGACACATTTTCTCTGTGTTTTAGACTTCATCACAGAGAA